AGCGTGCTACGTGCTACGCGCTACACGTCTGTTTCCTTTATAGCTGGGCTATAGCTTAGCTGGTTCTGGGAGTCTAGCTAGATGTTTGAGAATCTGCCATAGAGATTTCTGAGTCGGTCAGGCTTTAATATGGTAGCAATCCGCTACAAGTTTATAGACAGTTCTTAAAAACTCAAAAGTTCTATTGGATCTGAACCAATTTTTTAAGGCAATTATTTAAGACACTTGTCACAATTTAATTTTAATTTGTTGGAGGTAAACTGAGGTTTTATTTTGGTGCTCCATGGGCAACGTATGCTCATACGGCAAAAAAGTCTATAAACCGGCAGTTGACTTCTGATTTCAAGCTACCATCACCCCACTGTATGTCATAATCCACTACTTCCACAGTACATACCTCACCTTTTTTCTACCTTTTCTACCTTCGTCTTTAAATTACTTTTCTGTTCCACCCACCCTCTCGACTTTTATCGATTTGATGTTCCTCTCTCTCTCTCTGTGAAGCCTGAAGTCAACTGAAGGGCAAATGTTAGCCATCGAAACGCTTGCCATTAGATATAAATAAATGCATTTTGGTCAAAATCTAAAATTCACCAGAGCATTTCATTTTTAATCTAGACTGAATATTTCAGCCAATGTTGTAACAGTATAAGCGCACGTGTTGTTAGGTGACACAAGTGTCATTGACTTAATTGAATTCATTCTCCTCACACAAGTTGCTAACAAATTGTTTGACTTGTAAATAGTCCCCTCCTCGGAGGTGCAAAACGGATGTCTTACGGGCTTCTACGGTAGGTACGGCTTCTTAGATAGTTGGAAGTTACAGTGAATCAATACTTAATTAACTGGGTTAACAATTGGTTTAATTCGTATTAAAAAGTTTACTTTTGTCTACTGCTCTCTTACTTACTTTGTTTTCTTAAGTTTAATTTTATTTATATGCTTCTCCGTTTTGTTATTTTTAATTTAGATTACACAATCATCTTGAACTAGGACAAGTGGGAAGAGGTTTCATATGATTGTAGTTGAAAGTTATATCGAGTTAAGGGGCCTCACCTCTAGATTTGTTGACCTTTCTTTTCATTTGCATTAATTTTGGTATCAATTAAAATCGAACTAAATTTTATGGCTCAGGCGTTTAGTTCTACTGTCGAAACAGCTTTAATGAATAAATCATAATACAAATAACTATCGCCAGAATTCTGGTCATGAACCAATCACCAACACTCAAAGTGTGCATTTAAAGCATCAGATGGTGATAAAAATAGCTCCCACAAAAATTTTGACGCAACAAGATCCGTTCACAATTATCCTCCCGTTATCTGACTTTTGTAAATTGGGCTGCCTGAGAATTCAGACACCCAACACGCCATCCCACCCCATACCCCCCCAAACTGTTTTACTTTTTGGTGCATGGGAAATATAAATAACACCGCTAAAAGCGAAAATGTCCCGAGAATATACAAGACAGTTCCTCCGATCTTCATATCAAGCGCCAGGATTTTCTATATTCAAATAAACAAACTATAATCAGCAGTTTTCATAGGAGAAAATAAAAATATCAGAAAGTAGAAACCCTTCAAAAGCAGACTGTGTTCCATTTGGCCACTGCTTGAATAAGAAAAGTTAAAAAAATCCTACCAAATATGGCATAATCGAGTTGGCAAATAATAGTGCATCATGACAAAATTTTAATCGATTCTGCTAATTAGAAAAAGAAAACGGGATCAAATGTATTAACAATGGATGTGGCCGACAATGAGAAGTTTGTCCACTCGGCACTTCTGGGTCTACCAGGATCTGTCATGTACCTTACAAATTTCAGGAATCAGTTGCAGCCCACTAGAACCGCTTAAACACTAACCAAATAGACTATTTGTTGCGAGGTATGAAAGCTAAGGTAACACGAGCAACCAATTTCAAAATGGGTGTTTCACAGATGTAAAGAGGCAGATGGACACAAATATAGAAAAAAGGTAAGATGAGTACTGTGAAAGTTGTGGAAATTAGCTAAACGGCTAATGATAACTATCAAGTCGTCTTCCATTTGAAATAAAAATAAATAAATTTCAATATAGGACAAGAAAATATCCCCAAACAATAAACAATGGAGACATCACATTTCCTTTAGGTCAAACGTCCTACTGTTTGGTCCAATAAGGAGGTAGATTCCGATTCTCACCCAAGATGAAACATTGCACGATCTGATTTTCTTTATAATTTAAGTGATCTAGAAGCCGATATCCCATCCAAAAGACTGAAAATCGATACAAATTCATGAAACAATCTGATAAATTAGCGCGTTATTTCAATAAATAAAAGTTAATTTCTTTGAGGAATAATTTTTACTAATCATTCATAATTATGTTTTTACCTTAACAGTTGCATTTTTCAAAAGATGGAGTCTAATCGCCAAGCAAATAAATTTTGAACCCCCGTAGGAAGCACTCTTTCCCCAACCCCCCAACTCGAAAAGGATGAGAAAAAATTGGTAGGTGTATTAATAGAACATTCCAGTGTATTTTATGATGCAGTAACAACGTCGTTCATTGTGTCATAGAGTTAGGAAAACACGATCATTTGTTGTTGACAATGACTGGGGGCAATTGACGTTAGGGCCTTCATTATCGAGAAAGCAGCGAGCGAATATGCACTAAGCCCCACACACGGACAGATTTTTGATAACACTTGTCTACCTAATTGCTATATTTATAAATAAACTAAATACGATTAATATATACACTTGTGATTCGATAATAATGACTGATTTTGGATCCATATTAGGCACTAATATTACTACAAGAATTGAACAAAGTGGAGATATCAGTGGAATTCGAGCGAAATTATATTTATTTATACCAAATAGCAGGCGCTTTGATGGTTATCAATAGCCCTTTAGTTGACTTGATGGCTTCACAGAGGGAAAGGATCATCAAAGTGAAAAAATCGAGAGGGGGGAACAGAAGAGTGTTTTAAAGACGAAGGTAGAAAAGGTAGAAAAAAGGTGAGGTGAGTACTGTGGAAGGGGTCGAATATGACAAGCAGTGTGGGTCATGGCAATTTGAAGTCAGAAGTCAACTGCCGATTAATAGATCCTTTTTTGCCGTATGAGTATACGTTGCCCAGGGTGCACCGCGTGGAAATAAATCTATCACACACCCCGAGTGAAGTTATATCAAATCATGAAAAAAGCTTAGATAAGAAGTTAATTTCAAAGCATTTTAATTAATACCTGAATGATCTCTTCTGATTTTTTTCATTCTTTGCCTCATCGCAATTCCTTTTACGCTGTCTAAGATATTCAATATTGGCGTGAAGTTGAAGTGCTTTCGTGTCATGAAATTGAAAAAAAAACTTTTTCGTTTGTCAGGGCGTGAGATACATAACCCCTGCTTAAGAGCGTTGAAATGCAGATTAAACTGAATTTATTTAGACATTAGACCAGAATTTCGCACAGATAGGTACAATTAATTTGTTTGAATTTGCTATTATTCCGAGCGGGTAGTGAAGGAGACCCCTAGTTTTCATTTACTTGACATTTTCAACTATAAAAGATGACTCTTGCATCTTTATTGATATTGACATTATTAAATGTGGGCAATAAATACGCTTATAAGTGCTTTGTTTAAGCCATTAAGTATAGAATCATCAGGAACTACTTCGGAAACCTTTTCTTACAAAAAATCAAATTTTTATCAATTATTTCTACAAATAGAAATTATTAGATTAATATTTATTATGCTATGTTATTTGGAGACAGGCGCTTTTGATTCTCCACTTAATCTATTGTGACCTACGCAAACAGTTTACTCAGGAACCATGGAAACGCTAGCCATTTACGAGTATCAATGGGGAAAAAGATTGAAACAAGGAGTCTAATTAAATAAAGCTGGACTTGTATACTTTTATTTTAACCGACTTCCCCCTATATCAGCTCTTCTACCTAAAAATGTCTTCATTTCGTATAATTAAAAGGCCCATTTTATTCACATGAGTAATAAATGACAATTTATGGATTCCGGTTAATATTTGGCGAAAGGGTATTGTTTCCTTTCCATTCACAGCATTGAGAATGAGATCAGTCATCTCTTTGATGTTTTGACTATCCTTTACCTTAGGGTAGGAGTTTAATCTTATACTGAGATTAAACTCACTGCTGAATTCATTGATTTGTGATTCTGTAAAAAATTAATTACCTTGCACTGTGCGAGTTGTCATAAAACATCTCCATTTCCTCGTGACAGCCATGGGTACATGAAAATGAAATAAAAACATTTTCAAATGATCCCCCCACCCTCACATTGAGTGTCCTGTCAGTAATCGATTCACTAGTTATGTTGACACTATCACCTACTGTAAGGGAAAGTGGTTTGGAGCATAGAAATCTTGTTTAATAAAAACGCTTGCTTTTGAACAGCAAATTTTCCCAAATTTAAAGTCTTTAGATTGATTCAAGTATCGAATAAATAGAGATGCGGAAATTCTCGTAGTCTTGCCAGCATTCAGAAGTTGACATAACCAAGCTGCAATCAATTACTGTCCTGCACACGCTTAAAGTGACTACTATTGGTTATCCTTCTCTTCCCACTGCCCACCAATAGGGGCACAACATCATCTGTGCTGGTAGAGTGTGCCGCTGCTTTTAAAGACGCCAAACGGGCACACTCGTTTCGCAACCCCTCGTCAGGCGAAATATCATAGATAGGGAGGGACGGGTAAGCGAGATCTGAATTGTGCGGGTGAATACAGACAAGGACAATTTTTGTTTAAATCTCACTTCCGCTTCCTCTACCTCCCTATAAGGCGCATGATTTATATCCTCGAAGAGGATGTTTCCACGGCGTTCTTCATTGCCAAGTAATCCCTCAAGCGAAAATACTACTGTTAGAAGAGAGTGTAGAACTTTCGAACCACAACAGTGGCGTCCATCTGTGTGCAAAAATTGCTTTCGAACTGAACCGGAGCATAATATGCCCAATACGACAACGGCAATTGCTACAAATGCAGTTCAGAATCAGAACCCCATTACCTCAACTGCGGTCTCAACGATTGAAGGGGTCCCTGGTACAATTAATGCCTGGCCAGCGACTCCTGCAGTTAGCAGAAAGCCAGGACCTATGGACCCTGGTCAAAGTCGAACGCATGGACAAACTCCCGCTCCAACTAGACGCAGCGGGCAAAATTCACAGAGGTGAGTGAAGGACTCTTAATTAGAAAAATGCGTTTTTAAGCGGTCAGGAAAATGTAATTTAAAGTTTTTGTATCAATTATTGGAAGCACTTAGCTAATAAATAAGTTTAATCTCTTTATTGATCGTCATTTAACAGTCATAAAATACGCGTTTTCAACTTTTCTATTTAAATGACCCTAAGCTTAAAGCCCTTTTGTTAAGGCAAATAAAAATAAATATCAGCCCATTGACAAATAAATACCAAATGATTCTTACATCCCTCTTACTATTATCTATATTTAAAAAAATTCTCAGGATGAAAATCGGTGTTTAAAGCATTTTCCATAATAAAATCGAAATGAAGTATTTCACTATGAGGGTTCAAAATAAATTTCGTAAATGGACGCTATCTGCTTTCAACCAGGTGCTTGCATGGTTGCTATGGTTGTTTTATAGCCAACTGTGGGTGGTTAAAAAGCAATTATTTTTTGACGATTTAATTTAATATTTTTATAAAATGGAAACTACGATCACACATCAGGCGTATTTAAAAACAGGACATTTGAATTACACATTGATTACGTAATAGTACTTTGTTCTCAAAACGCTCTGGACTTCTTTATTTAACCCGTTGCCTTCAAACGTTCAGGAATGTTCTTGGTGGTCTGATAATGTAATTCTTTAGTGAGCCATAACCACCACCACCCCCAGCCCCCCTCGAATAATTTGTTTTTAGGAGCCTTGCAGGGAATCTTGGCAGTATAAGTTCCCGAACATTTGATCGCCAGGACATCTTTATATGGGAAGAACTTGGTCAATTTCTCTGTTTTCTGATGGTTTAGTGATTTTTTAATGGAAAAAGCCATACATTAATCTACGTTAAAACCCGCTGAAGATCTCAGTCTTAATTAATTATCTCCTTGGTATCTATGAATAAACAAGGGGTATCACCCGACCATCGTTAAAACTTGAACGTCTTTTAAAACGTACTTTCTTGTTCCATAAAATAACACTTATTTATAAACAAAATAGTTTCCGAGCACAGTTTGGAAAGCGACTTTCAGCGCTCATTTTGAGAGGGGAAGTATCTTCGCGTAATCTCTCTGTGTGATACGTAAAATTTTCCATCTCCTGTATGTAACAAGCTCAAGCAGTGCCGTTGGCCATTCTGGTTAATGGATTAACTGAACTCCTGGTTACTATACAGTCCATTGCAAGAATGACTATGATTGGAACAAAAAAACTATATTCAATAGAAAACACTTTCGTTCCCTACTGTTTATAAAGTAAAGTCGAAAAGAAGAAACTGAATTCATTTCCACAGGTTGTTTTCCAATCCACCATTTTGACCATTTGGCTTTCACTTAGAAGTCCATTACTGCGCATATTTCAAGATAACCATTACTCATGCAACTTATGTTCTACCAACCTAACAGTATCTATAATTCTTTAAGGTCCGCTGATGAAATCCAAAGGGGTATTCCTCAAAGGGGAACCCCAGCCCCATCTCAGATCCTTCTACCACAACCTCTTGGACCAGATCGAGCTGCACAGGTAGGCGCAAGCGGTGTATTCTCCTCAGCTTCCAGTATTGATGCCAGATATGTCGAGGAGCTTGAAAATGACTTCTTCGACCTTGAAGATAAGTACGATGCTCTGGCAAGGGAACGAAATGACCTATCGATGGAATTGGAAGCGAAAGTGAGGAGTGTTGAGGAATTGCAAATCTCCCTAGAACAGTACAAAGAGAAGGTTTCAACACTGGAAAGACGATGCACTCATTTGGAAGAAGAGATAAAGACATATAGGTAGGTGAACCGACGTGTGGTTTTGTTACCTCTATTTAAAATGGCCAAGCCATGTGTCTTGTCTTGATAAGTTGAAAATCGGTTCAATTGGTCATATTTGATATGTTTGTAGTAGTCTCACTCTTATTGGACACTAGTTTTTAGCATTTCGTCAATCTTGTCGCGTTATCTTTAAGCACAAACTATATTGAAGAAATTGCAGCCTTAATTTACTAGTTGCAGAGATAAAATTACTAATATTTACCTAGTTTCACTTACTGTGAGCTAATCTGAAATTTTTGATAAAATCGTAAAATAGACAGAACAGATTGAGAAATAAATTACAAGGAATGTTCATTAAAATTCTACATGCTAATAAAATGACAGTTTTTATTCTCTCCATATACCACTACTTTATATTATTTATTTAATGAGGCTTGTCGAACGAGCAGTAAGAACACAACTAGTAGCACCCTCGTCTACAAAGTGAAAAGTTATGACTTCGACAAAACCCAGTATCACTGCAGGAATTGGCAGAAGTCACTTTTCTCCTTTGAGGGGACTACTTCACGCCACACCTCTGGCCAACATGAGTTTTGATTTGAGAGTTGTCGTTTTGTCCGTATATAAAATATCTTTACTTTTAAAGCTCGAAGGAAAGAAATGGCAATAATGTGGTAATCAGAAGAGCGTTTATTGTTCTTCATGTCATAAATGACCGTAAGTTAAAGTTAATAACGCCTACTGATCAATAAAGTAATAAGTTTTCTACGACTGACTCAGAACAGATAAGTGGTCCATTTCAAGGATTTTTCATTTCTTTAACGATGGTCTTTCAAAACGCTTGAGGCCCTCTCATGGGACAGACTGTAACCACTGTCGATTTGAAGATAGGTTGCTAATTCAGATTGTTGAGGGTCAATTTCAAGCTACAAGTCTTATCAATTAAGAGAATAAAAGGCGCGTTAACTTAGTTTAACTTATTATAAATACTGCTTGTCAAATGATTGGGGGGAGTCTCCTTAAGGCATGTTTCTTACCTTTCATAAAACAACCAAAAATCATAACTTACTTTTTCTGGCATTGGTTAAAAAATCACAAATATCTGTGGATGCCACCTATATATCTTAAATAAAAATAAAATCTCAGATTCTTGCTGAGATTTTGTAAACTATTGAAATCGTTAGCTGAAATCGAATTAAGTAATATGATATTGCACTTTAGAGAGCGATTGCGGTTACCCGAAAGTGACCAAGGGGGAGTAGCAGGTGGCGCAGGTGTTGACTTGAAGGCAAGTGCTCTGGTCGCCGCGTTGGAAGGTGGCGAAGGCAGTGACGACCTGAAGATTCGACTAAACCAAGTCGAGCAACTCTGTCAAGACGTCATGGAAGAGAATGAGGCCCTCAAGGAGGAGATCGAAGAGATGCAACGGGAGATTGAAGAAATGCATGACCATTTCCAGGTAATTTTAAAAAAACGCAATCTACATTTGTCTAACAATAAAACTTATTTAGGTAGAGTGGCGTATTCCTACCCATATATTTTGTCCAAAATGTGGCAAAATGTGTAGGCAAAATGATAATATCGGATATTGTACAAAAATATGTGCTCTGTGCACTTACAAATTTATTTTCATTATATTAAATTCTTTTAAATACTTTGGATACATTGAAATCACTTATTTATTTTGAATATCAAAAAATAATCTAAATTTAAATATCCCATCATTTTTAAAGGAAGAGGACAGGGACAGCATGCGTGAGATGCAGCGTGACCTTGAGGCAGCCAATAAAACCTGCCGAATCCTTCAGTTCAAATTGCGAAAAGCTGAACGCCGATTTGAGCAGGTTGAAGCTGAAAGAGCTAGCTTGGAAGAACGGCTCTCAAGACTGGAGTCTCAACTTTACAGCGAAACTGACATTGGTCATATTCGAACTTTGGAGGTAAGGGCATGAAGTGGTTGAAGACTCACCGTTGAAAGTGCAATTTAAATCACCTATTTAATTAGGTCTTCGCTTCGAAGTAATTCAAATTTTTACAGTCTTCTCAGAAGACACGCATCAATACAACTATCTAATTTTCTCTTTAAAGACACAATAATATAAGGTTTCAAACAAATGGCCAATTTAGGAGACATATCAATCTTTAATGGGGAACGGCTTTAAAACAAGTTGAAAATCTTGAATATTTATTACTCTCAAGCCTTCCAGTTCGATGTAAAAACTCTTTGATAAACTGTCTGATGTTGGGACGCCGTTTTTCAATTAAAAAAGCAACTTTCTCTTCTTTCTTGAAAAAAAAACTGTGGATAGTATTCTAGATGTCTACATCAGGTAGTATTACTAAATGCAAGTGTGAGTGCTTCCTAGCCATCACAATTCAGATTTTCCCAGTTTTATTGCCTTGCCATGGTGATAGTTTAAACTGAACCTTTCTTTTTTAAACGAAAGTTCTTAAAGACGGGCTCAGACCTTTCATTCATTTTTAGTTTTATCACCAAGAGAGACTAACTTGGCCTTAAGAAATACTGAGAAGATTAAAATTATTACTGGAACCAGATGAAATGGGCTACTAAAGAGTGAGGATTCTGAGACTAACGTCATGGTATCAACGAGTCCTACTTCATTTATTTATTAAATTCTCCATCTAATAACAGTTGTACAAATGGACTAGTGTACATTCCCAAAATTCGGCCTTTGGGATTCCTTCCCAGGAAGAGGGAAAGTGCTTGTCTGCAATACCTAGTGCACATTGGCCGTGTTTTAATAGAGAAGGACCCTCAACCACCTTACAGTTATCCCTTCTCCTAATTTCTTGCCCTTTTATAATCATCATTTTGTGAGAATTAATTCAATTTATTATTTATCATTTCTACATCCGACGCAAATGTCAGCCCATTTAATATTCATTTGGTCAAGACATGTCCATTTATCTAACTGCATCATGTTCATCACTTTACCCTGAATCATAGCCATCTTCCATTGGCCAACCCTTTTTAATACACATAGACGTTTCCCTTTACATGTATTTATAATATGCGCTCCAATCAAGTATAGGTAGAGCATTTTAAGTCCTGACAGCTCATTTTGCATAATCGATTCAAACAAATTGTATATACTTCCTAATCAATGAAAATATGCCCAGATGCATACAAGTCTTTTGTAATAAACGATTCAATATGCCAGCTGGAAGAAGAGAAACCAGATTTCCCGATCTTATAGTGACAATTTATCACACATCAAACCAAAATTGCTGCAGTATCGCGTATAGTATATTTATTTATATAATAATGAGGCGAAGTATTAATTTCGTCAAGAGAGATATTATCGATTTCTCATAAGTATATTTTCACCCTGGCAATGTAATTTATAAAAAAATTAGGCATGTAATGACGAAATTTAATTGATTTGAAGAAAATCGATAAACGCACTTCCTCTTCTAACTCTAACACTAATGCTACAATGCATTTTAAGTCAATTACCTCGATTTCTGGATTAACTTCCTTCAAGTAACTTATCTCCACAAGTTTTTCTTGCTTATTTCACTCTACTTACTACCGAATTTCAGAAGTGTTTATGAGATCAAAGAAGGACGTGAATCCCAAACGAATTGGTAACCCCCAATGAAATTGCCATTTCGGATTGTCTATCCTCACAGAGTTGAGACATTGAATGGTCAAATATTTAAAATTTGGCTCTTATATTGGTCCATAAGAACAAACGAAACCTATCAGTGAATACCCGTACCATAGATAGGAGCTGAATTCTACATTTGCCTAAAAATCGTTTGTGTCCCCATTTATTTACACTCAGTTTGGTCAGAAGTATTTGACGTCATTAACAATAGTCTATCTAAATTTTGAAATTTCTGTTTAAAAAATTAGGCTAAATATCTGCTTTGAAAAAAGAGGATTTACAAAACTATTCTTTTATTGAATCTCAGGTTTTAAAATTGTTTAAGGAAGAACTTGAAGCAAATGTGTTATAATTTAGGAGTCTATAAAGGGAATTTCAGCCCCCTAAGGTATTTTCCATTTTCAGGATGAACTACGTATTGCCAAAGAGGTAACCACCCGATTAAACAACGAGTTGGACATTCTCGAGGAAAAACGTCAGTTCTATGAGGATGAGAATCATCAACTAAAAGACGAACTTCAACTCTGTCAGAATCGGCGTATCACTTCAGAAAATGAGGTCGATCGTTTACGATTAGAGGTTAGTTTTGTTTCAGTTTAGAAAAATGTGTAAAATTAACTTTCCTCTCCAGATTTAATAGGCAGATTAATAGCAGTTTTGACGGGAAGGTTATTATCCCTTTTCGCCATTAGCAACTGGTCCCATTTTAGTCTGAAGTCTATAATTGAAGAAATGATTAATTTATTCTAATTAACACATTAACAACCATGATTGTGGAAGAAAATCGTTTCAATTAATTATAACAAACCATCTTTATTTTAAAGGTAACAAACAAGTCTAATTAAATTTTGCTGGCATGCCTATTGGTAATCATATTTCATCTCCTTGAATGCCCTTTAGCCGAAAAGGTGCAAACATAAAATTTCTTGAATCCGTTTTTTCACCCCCCCCCTTCTCGGGTAACAGGTAGGTAAAAGGCCACTAGGTATAAAATTAGGTTCCGGCTAACGTGATGACTAAGCAGGCATATAAAAGTCTGGCCCGATCCTGCAAATCTGCGTGCAAAGTTTAATGCCTACGCACACTGTCGGCTGGGTAAAATCGATAAAAATGTGCGCCCGTGTTAGCGGCTTGCGGGCATTCAGTGATGCCCGTGGCATTATGAACTGAAATAGTTATCGTGGTACTACTTAAATGGCATATATCTAGGGTACTTTTAGGAATGCAGGCAATAATGAAATTAATCTGAAATACCTGCTCTGGTTTTCCAATTGAACACTGCCAAACGAAAAACAGAATATTGTAAAAATGTGAACATTTAATTGAGAATATATTTTAATGAAGTTCAAAGTGAATTCAATTGAACTAGATAGGATGAAATATCCAGAAAGGTTAATCCTTAACGCCGAATTAGTTTTTGTGTTCTAAGATAATTTTCCCACTGTTTCCCCTTCCGTTAAGAGTCTAGTACCAGTGAGCCTATTTTAAAAGAGGACCATACACTCCTGCAGGTAATTAAAGGGTTAACGATCGAGCATGATGCTGGGAATAAAGCTAAGGACGTAAATTGTGCTGATCGATTAGGGTCATTCATTTCCTATTTGAAGTACAATAATTAAATCAGATTTTTATTTTGAGCTACCATTTACTGAATGATCATTAAAGGATGGTTTTGCTAAGGCAACGTAGTGGACCCAACGATGATAAAGTATGCCAGTCTGTTCAATCTAAATGAAATCCCAGGTGAGTAGTTGTTTAAGTTTAAGCCAGATATCCAAACCATCTAGAGGTGTTTCTACCCGTATTTGACATTACACTAACTAGTTTCATTTCCCCAAGATACATATCAAGCCGGTTGCAACTCTAATGCCATTAAAGTTTTGACAGACGTGGTTTTGGCGATTCGTCGAAGCCTGTGGTTAAAAGAAGAAATACGATCTCGAATGATTGATGAAAAAGATTAGGGATAATAACTTTATTCAAACACAACTGCTTTTCATTTTGGGAAAGTATGATAAAGCTTGAGGATTCATAAAAGCATCGATACGGATATATTGCCGAAGCCAACAGGTATTGTGAGCACAATCCGCGCCTGTCACAGTCCCACCAACTTCAACGAGACCCGTATTGATAAGGTGAACTATATGTACACAGAGATATTAAATGTCAGGCTGTTTGATAGCTATCATTAGTCCTTTAGTTGGCTTCATGGAGAGGAGGAACATCATAGTCATAGAAATTCAAAAGAAGGAACAGAAGAGTGGTTGACAGATGTAAAAGAGACAAAGACAAAAGTAGAGGAAAGGTAAGGTAAGTACTGTGAAAGTAGTCGAATATGACCACATGCAGTCGAGTCAACTGCCGGATTATAGACTTTTTTCGTATGAGTATACGCTACCCAGGATGCACCACGTGGAGGTAAATATATCGTGCACCCCATGTCCGCAGACATAAGTAGAAAGATATGGAGCTGACAATTGCTGTCCCTCGTAGAATTGGCTGTTTCCCAAATCACATCACCATATCTTTCTGTGTGCTTTTTCAAAAATGGGATCTATCCACTTTGGTGGGGGTGGGGGAACATTAACAACTTATAGGTGTTACCTATTGTTTATAACAGTTTATTTGTTAAATGATGAAGAAAAATACTTTTCTATATATTTTTAGTTAGATAAATTGAAATGTGAAAGCCGCTTCGCCGAACGTGGTCCCTTGCAAGTTACGGACAAGAAAGCCGTAAGTCTTGTAACCAAAAGGGTTTGAATAAGAAGAACTAGGTGTAATCTTTTATCTCTTTTAAAGGGGCGACAATCAACTGGCCTCAGTACAACACCCCCTGCGCTTTCAACTGAACAAAACGAGTTAATTCGGGCCCTTCAGACCACCAAAGAGAGGGAGGCGGATCTCTCAGAGCAGCTACGATTCGCAGAAGAGGAGTTGAGGAAAATGAATCGGCGGATGGCAGAAGCTCAAGCCGATAATAATGCCTTATCTCGTCAACTAGAACGTCTTAGCATGCAACAGGTAAATTTGGTGACTGGAGTTCAAGTACTTGCAAATTATTAGTAGTTAAATTCAGCATCTTTATAATCTATTTCAATTTCAGGCTCGTGGAGAAAGCCCGAGAGCAACTGCGTCTCAGGTTAAAAAGGAGTTTGCTGCAACTCAACAAGAAGGTGTGCTTGATACAACTTTAGTAAAACAAACAAATTCATTCAGTTAAGGTAATCTCTTAACCTTATTTCAGCCAAACGTGCGGAAGTGGACGAGACGGCGGCAAAGCTGAAGGCAGCTCAGGAGGAGTTGGAGAATCGCAAGGAAACGGATACCCTTATTATAAAACGAATGCACCAACTGGCAAACGAGTTCCTTACTCTCAAGGCCACTTACAAGGAAATTGATTGGCTGGAAAAGTACAATGAAGCGGTTGAGGCACAAAGGGACGCTGAAAATCAGGTAAGTAACTTTAAAGCCTATTATCTTAAAACTGTTTATTATTGAATTTTAAAACTCACTTTATTCACCTAGGTGGCCTCACTCAAGCGCAAACTTGTTGAATCTTCCACTGAACTGCCAAGTTCTGTGGTTGCTCGAATCGAGTCCCGTCGACCATCCTTAAAATCCTCTGACTCAAGGGCTGCGATGTCAAAAGACTGGTTGTTGCAGAAGCTGGACATGCACGATAAAGAAATGTGTATGTGTTTAGCAATGCCCTTACTCCCCTAATTGAAAGGATTGGATATTTTGAATAACATTTTTTTTCAAATTTAGCCGATCTCGAAACAGAAATATCTGCCCTTCGTAACTCAACCGATAATTTGAAGATGCAATCTCAAAAACTCGGCGAAGAACATGCCGAATTCAAAAACGAAGCTGATCAACGTGAAAAGGATCTTCGAATGCACATTGAGAATCTAGAGAGGAAAGATTTTATAGTTAGTAGCCTTCTAGAACTAATGGTTCAGAGAACTAACTTCCTCCAAGAGCAGTTAGAGAAGACAAGTCCAACAGATGTTGAAAAGGAGTCCACAAGAGAATTGAAAAATCTTCAGGAAATTCTGCTTAAGGAACGAGAAAAAGCAAAAATCTTGGAGGAACAGTTGCAATCAGGGGCTCTGATTATTCCTCGACCAATGCTGAGCGAAAATGAACGTTCAAGACTGAAGGAAATTGATGTTTTGAAATCCCAGGTAGGACCATTTGGACTCAACTTAACCCTTCCTATGGAATGTGTGGTTTGTTATTGAAACTTAATCGATTTTCAGCTGGAGGAGAAAGAAGAGATAATAGAGGATCACGAGAGTCAGATCCGTGACCTAAGAAATCGTTTGGAGAGGGCGAAGAAGATGAACGATGCAATGAAGATTTTAATCGATAAGGATGCTGTAGACTCTTCCAGAATATCAGCTTCGACTTCTAGCCCAGCTTCTGCTGTTGCTACCTTGGAGAGCAAACAAAATGCTCTGGAGATCTCTGGTTACAGAAAAGAAATTGACTCAATGCGAAAGGAGATCGCAATTGTACGTTTGTGGTAACATAATTCTAAGTTTGCATGTTTTAATCTTTAGATTTATTGCTAATTAGTCAGTAGGGTAAAGGAGTATTGGTGGATTGGCCCAATAGGAATACATACATGCTCAACAACAAATCGTGATAGGTTGCAAAACTCAAATAGGCCTTCATGACTTGGACCAAAACTCCTAAACTTGGGTCGCTCACAATTTGGAAATAATAAATTCTACGAAGTTATCTAAACCTCTAAGAGATTAAATGCACCATAAAAAGCGATAATCACTCCGTCACCTTGCAAACGCCTTTTTCTGAGACATCCATTGTGTGCTAATCTGCATTAGTTTCAGTCGTATATCCATTTTTGACCCAAAGATATTTTTCTAGGCTGGACACCTTTGGTGTCTTCAAAAAAACATTTTCTACGATTTTCAGCATTTTAGTTCTAACTTTCCTGAAATACACAAGGAAATTATTATAAAATCTGTCTAATTCGAAGCCAAAAATTAATCTCCCTCTCAGGACTTCCTTTCCTTCCAGATATGCCTTCTTCAATAATTTTGTTATAAGGTTGAAATTGTTGACCGAGTTTATGGGTAGGCCGAATACAATGAGTCGGGAGGGTTTAAAAGTACAAATTCAATTAAGGGGGCGGTGGGTGGGGGGGGGGGTGAAGGACAGCTTTTTTACACTGTGATAAAACGTTAGTCCCCTGACTGGACAATGTGATAGCCAAAAATTCATGAAAATGACCTGTCGCAATATCGCTTTTCTCCGGCGAAGTGCAATGAATCTAGGTTTTAAAAGCACCCTTCTATTTCCAGCGAAGACTACATTTATCACGGTTCACAAGAGGTCATTGAGTTGACCTGGTTTCATGAATCTTTATAGTATAATCCCGCTGAAAAAGGCAATGTAGTTATGAGCTATTATGAGCTATTTCATTTATTCTTTCTTTAATATTTTGGACTTTTCGTTTTCTAGCTGCAACAAAAGGTTCTCCAAATTGAGAAAGTTCGCGAGAAGCTTATTCTGGAGAACAAGGATCTTCAAGAAGAGCTGAAACTCCGTGAAGATTCTCTCTTTGATCAGGACGACGAACTTGAGAAGAGAAATGCTGATCTCGCCAAGGCAAAGCGTGCTTTGGAACTCATGCAAGTTGAGGTATGTCTCGATTGGTTTATTCACCTTAAGCCTACGTGCTATTGGATAAATAATCTAAATGGTGACGAATATATATAGTTGAACGAAGCTCGAAAGGGATTGGCTGTTGCAAGAGCGCAAGAGGGAATGAGCACCAAGATCAGCACAACATTGGCTGAAAACGAGCGCCTGAAATCGGAACTTCGCCGTTTGGAGGAAGAACTTTCCGGTAGGAATGATTCAATCGGAAATTGCGACTTTTTTCTCAAACTTACCTTCCATTATCTACCTTGCTAGTTACAATGATGAATTTGGAAAAAGCCCGGGCTATTGAAGCTGATCTTCTTGACAAAAATAAGCAATTGGGATTGGACCTGAAGAACAAAGAAAGCCTTGTTCAGGAAAAGGATGATCTTCTTAATGAAGTCAAGAAGGACTCACAACGACTGGACGAAGAGCTTAACTCAACACGCCAGGCTGCTACCGAAGCTCAAAATAAGATTAAGAAGCTTGAAGCTACTATTGTTGAGCAACAAAAAAAGCAAGCTTATTTGGATTTTCATTTATTTCGATGCTTGAAATTCCAATTCAAATAAGTGTGTCTTTAATAGGATAAAACAAAACGAAAACGGAAATTCGGGAGCGGATTCAGCGCCTGGTAACTCAATTGGCCGCGACAGCAATAGAGATACTAGACGTATAGAAATGGATCGTTTGCGTCGTGAATGTACAGCTCTTCGGCAGGAACGTGATGAAATTGCGAAGGAAGCTCGTAGGGACCGGCAACTCTTCGAAAAACGTCTACAAGAGGCCTGCAATAAATTGGTTAGTGAAAGCTAAACAAGTCTTCAGTAAAATTTAAACAGTAGTTGAAAAGGTTATCCTTCTGATTACATATAGAATTCCCTTTCGGAAACCTCACCAAGCTCCACGTCTCGATCCGCTATTGCCGGTGATCTTTTCACTCGAGCAACAGCTGAGAAGCAGATAAACAAGAAGTTAAACTTGTTCAATGAACATATCGCCAAGCAGAACAGCATAATCTCGCAGTTGAAAATCAAGAATGAGATCATCCAAAATAAGGTTCTGGAATATCAACGACGGTATGCGAACTTGAAGGAGCAATATGAGGCAGAGCAGGAGGCCTGGCTGTCTGAACGCGTTGTTCTTGAGTCCAAAGCAAAGGAGGTTTGTTCTAATCCTCTTAAATTGTCACGAGTGATTGGACTCAAGTAACTAAAGTAAATCTTATTCCTTGCAGCAGGAAGAGCGGAAGAACACGATAGCAAGCACGAGAAAGTCTCTCCAAGAAACCAGTATTCGACTAGCTGAAGTTGAGCTCAATTTTGAGAAAGAGAGGCAAAAATTCGAAAGTGAGTTGGCAAGATTGGAAACAGAGAAGTCTGAACTCAAAGTTCAGTTAGCTCAACTAAAGGAGCAGCAAAAGTTGCCAAAAGTGCTCCAGCGTTTTAGTGCATCACCGGCTCGAAGTGGACACATTAGTATGGTTAATGCAGCTGCTAGCGGTAATGTGGCTAGCACTGAGACTGCCAGACGTTTGGATTCTGCAGAAAGAACTATTGCTCGTTTAAAGACAGAAATCCAGAATCGAATCGAGGCACAATCTCAAATTACAATTGATGCCATTAAAGAGGCTGAGGCCGCACGGGGAGCTGCTGAATGCCAAATGGAAAGCTTGAACGAACAGCTTTTGCAGGTTTGTCTTTTGATTTTACCATCTTGACTATTTGAACAGACTATCCTCCCAACGTGACATAACTTACAACAATATGAAGTTAAATAACTTCTTTTAACTGTATTTCAAAATCTATTTTCGTAAAAAAAGTCAAGTTAATCTATTAAGATATGTCTATGGACTGTAAGTGAATTGATTGACTTTTGATTCTTTCTTTGAGCCCAAGTTGCAAATTGATGAACTGATTTGCGACCTAACTAATGCGAGCATGTTAATCGATCGATAACAATAAACAGGCTTTTGCCAAGTATACGTGATTGCTTCAAAGTTTATTAAGCACGCAATAGAATTTATTTCTAGGCAGCCGGTTTAAAATCAGATTTTTCTGAAATAGCACTTTTTTGTAACTATTTATATACCCAATTTTATAGGAACCAATGATACTTATTCCTTCTGAACGGAATTGTAACGTTCTAGTATTAAAGGAATTAATGAGCATAAGAACTGAATGTTCAATAACCCAATTTCGATTAGTGTAGATCTTTAACTCAAAATTGATTAAAAATAACATCATCTAATGCTCTAAACTTTGTTAATTTGGTCATCGGTGAGCGATTTCACCTGAAAATAGATTTTTAGAGCAGTTTCTATATAATGTTCTTCGTAGGGAGTTACTTTGAACGAATAGAGTGCCCTCATCAAATCTCCCATCTTGATATTTAAGAGACAATGAAGTGCCCATTGCAAATTAAGCTTAAAAGATATCATAGAAATCTATCGCCCCCTACTCTTTTCCTAAAAATATACACTATGGATGGTGTGATTACTCCTCAAATCGTATCTTCAATTCAGACTTTCAATCAAGCAGTACCAGAACTGCTATAGAACTTTCGATTATAATCTGAAAGTCTTTGTTTTCCTTTCAGTTAAATCTCTTCCGAGAGCAAGCTGAACTTTTTAGGGAACGTCTTATCGAATCAGAGCAGGGAGCCGATCGAGAGTTCAAAATATGGACAGAGGAACGTGAAGATCTACTTTGCCGAATTGAAGACTCCCGAATTTCAGTCGAGCAATGGTGTATTCGATTGGCAAATAGAGTGAGTCCAGGTTGTGTCAATGCTCTCAAAATACCAATAAAAATATCTCACAAATTTATTTTCCTAACTCAGGAAGGAATTGAGGGCTTGAAGTCTGAGGAAATCATTAATGACATTGTTGCAGAAATGGAACGCTGGAGAAATTGTCGGCAGCATATACCAATTTTCCAAAGAAGGTATTACAATTCTTAGACTCTTCTACTACTTATATTATATTTAAAAAATAATGAGAATTCATTTCAGGACGGTTTTACTCCAACGTTCCGTTGAACCCTAGCAGCGATAGGTTCAATAGCTTTATCTAATATACTGCTAGTAACATTTCAGCAAACAATCACATTAACTTTTTACAGTACACTAATAAGATAAATTTGATTGATTCTTTTCTTACAGGAGTAGCTCAGTTGGTCCAACGATGGTTGGGTATGTGATACCATATAAATTATGCTCTGTTGCAAAACGGACGCTTAAATAGAATTCAGTAGTGCGTTTGCGCTCCCCTACTTTAAAGCTAGAGCTCATTCGCTTGCGCTTCTGAATTTATTCCTCCATTGTATTTGTACCTATTCTTCCCATAAGTAACGAGTCTGATATCTCGTTAACATAGGAAGAAGACTTATGTTTCAAACGATGCAGTACTTCACTGGCCTGTTGGTGAATTTACATATTTATATAAAGTACAGATAAATTAAGAATAACCACAACGATCAGTAAATAGATTAAATTTGACTGGATATGTGCTGAGTAATGTATTTCGGTCGATAATTATCTACTTATCGGCTATGCTTATGCCTGAGATACGCAAACGCTTTCTAATTAAATATTGAATTCTGCCAAATAAGGAGAATTAAACAAATTGAACCCGGGCAACGAATTCAAAAGGCCTGATATATCTGGTGCTTATAAATTTTGAGTATGGTGTGACGGTAGATGAGCCTTTAGCCGTCTTATTCCACTTGAGGTATTTAACTTATTTCTGCATGCATATATAGATCTGCATGAAACAATTGCACTTGCTTATTATAATTCTTCAAATTTAATTCAAATCCCCTTATTTAAAATGACTGCTTTGATTTATTATATATATATATATATATATATATATATATTTCATCCACATTGACCTTTATAAGTAGAGTTATTTATCCCGTTCCAAATACTTCAAAATTAAATCTATTAAAGTTATTTTCTGAATTTAGTCTAATTTAACAATTTAATATCAACGAACCTTTGTATAATAAACAGTCCATTACTTATATTTAACTCTGTAATAGTTATTTCACCTTTCAGCGAATGCTAATTAAATAATATTCATCGCATTCCTATCTCTACAATCACTGCATTTGTATTTCAAGGTCACACACATCAGACACCCAGTCAATGATGGGTGAGAGTATGCTTGGAACGCCCGCATCTCAGCCCAAGACCCCCTTATCTGCAGGTCATAGATCAACCTCCGTGGAATGGTTTAATCGATCAGGAAATGGCGGTTTCCGTGGGAGCACTGTTAGCTTGGCTGGAGGTATTAGCTCTTCTTTGGCACGCAGTGTTACTCCATCTCTAACCCGTTGTGGGCGGTCAGTTTCACCCGATGTCAGCGTTCGAAAGGTGCTCCTTTATTTTCTACTTAAATTAAATAAGTAGACAGAATCTAATAAGTTTTTGCTTGCTTCAGATAACAAATTACCCCGATCCTACGCCTGGATTTCTCATCCGGTCAAGGCAACCTTCAGTTGACAGTCTGGGCAGCGTTTCTGATCTATCTACAAGGCCGTTCAACTCTCCCGGTTAGTACGCTACTTGGTGTCAGTATTTTTTTCGGAAAAGTGGGCTAATTATTTTAAAATCTGATAGGAAAACCACCGCTTCGACAGCCCATCTCCCCAGCCCGAAGAAAATTCTTTGAAGAATCGTCGATAACAACTCCTTCTGAACCTGGAAGTCTAAAGACAGAATCCTTCACTTTCCCCCTTTCCTCTTCTAATGTAATTATCAAGCATCCTTCTGAACTTCGTCATGTAACAACGGTTGTACCGGCCTCTTCGTCTAACACAGAATCTTCTGAAGGCAATTCGATTCTTGCTGCATCAGTTCCCCCAAAGAAAGAACCGACTCCTTCTGTTCTTTCTCGAATTTCCTCAAAATTGACGGGCTCTAAAACGGACTTGTCTCGGCATAAAACACCTCCTAAAGAGAAGCGACAGTCTCCACCAAAAGTATCAAGTTCGAGCCCCACTTCAAAGTCTCCAAAACAGAAAAAGAAGTCTCCTTCTCGAACCTCCCCACCAAAGACGACTTCAACGCCCTCGCAACCAACTGCTTCAGATTCACTTAAGACATCCACTACAACACCAACAGTTAAAGTCCAGCCTCTATCTACAAAACGGAGGGAATCGGAGATGATTCAAAGCATTGCTTCCAAACTCCATTCAACAGCGGAAGCTTCGACGAAAACGTCAGGTTTCTCATCTGGATCATTTCCGTTGAAGACTTCAAGATCAGCGAGTCTAACTACCCCGTCAATTTCGCCTTCAATCATGGCGTTAAGGCAGAAATTCGGAGGAAAGTAGTCCCCCTTACCTACTAAAAATACTTTGATCACAAAAGTTTCGAGTGCATTTCGATCTTGTGGACGATGTCCGCTATTTCAATACTCCCATTTTTCCTCTTCACTTTTGCGCCTTCCAAGCTGTAAAACAAGCTGTAGATTTGTGTTTTCTTTTCTGAGTTTGTTTGAGATGGAACATTTCCTTACCGTTTGTGTGACCTGTCTTGTCTCTTTTTTCTTGAGTAACTTGATTTTATTTGCTTTCGTTTTAACGTGCTTGGGTGTTTATTTAGCTTTTTTGATTTCTTTATTTATAAACGGATTTCCTGAGCAGGGAAGAAATTAGCGTTTATTACATGTACTACTTAAAAGATAGACTCTTCTTTGCGATGTACAACTAAAGAAAATTGTTTAGACACAATCCTTTTTTTGTTAATCAGTCATAAGCGACATGAGAGCCCTATTTGTTTCCATTATATGCTTTGAGGTCTGTTCCGCATCAAATTTGACCGTAAGCTTTAGTTCTGACTCAGAAGTTTAAGAAAGCAGACCAGATGATTGGTAGTTGAAGCTGGCCCGAGTTTAGGATGCTGGGAAATAGTTGTAAAAATGTAAGTGTCAATCAAGGTAATTGGCCAATGACCTTGAGAACAACCTTCAAACTCTCGTAAACGTTAACGAATCAGCAGTAGATTAGACGATGCGGTTTACAACGCGTCCTCGCAGTTTTAATGTGCATTTTAAAATGTGTTCTGGTGGCGAAGCTATTTGTTTTGCGATACTGTGATGACCTAGAAGTCGGCAATGGCTCCTTACGGAGGAGAATTTTAAATAAAAAATAGTGCTATTTGTATTGAATACTAAGTATGAATGCTATCTTTTCGTCTTAGAGTAGGCAGATTAAATGCAGTGCCGGGGGTGGGGGGAGGGTAACAATTAGAGTAAATAATGCCCCTAGAACATAGATAGATATCCACTGGGTACTTAGAACGCCGGAATAAAACGGACAGAATTGCAGTATTGTAAAAGTAATGGCTAGTAAAATTTTTTTAAGGTGTCAAGAGCTACTATTAAAAGAATGACATATGACTTATTGTCAAAAAATGCTCGAGAAAGCGTTTGGAAACCGCCAGTGGACGTATGCTCAGAAATCTCTATGTCATGTTCTCCTAGTTTAGAAAGACTCTCAGGCCTAGTTGAGCTACCTCGAAATTATAGAGGAAACAGACATATGAAGTGAAATACGTTTATTTGTGGGAAGTTTGGAACCGACAGGGGGCTCAGCTATTCTAATACAATGGAGGGTTTGCTGAACCGAGCAAGGACTATTCATTGGTGGTTGGCTGGGTGGTCTTCCGCGCACACGCACTTACCCCCTACGCAAAGTAACACGGCCCACCTCCAAACCTCTCTAAGTGCGCATGAGGTTCCTTTGTTCAGCGAGGACGTCGTCGTACGATCTCATCAGTCGTCTGTGAGACACACGTGAGTGCGGTTGGGTACATTGTTCAATGGGTTTTTATTTATTTATATCAATTCGCAGGCGTTTTGATAGTTATCATTAGCCCTTTAGTGGACTTTAGGCTCCACAGAGGGGAAGAAACATCAGACTGAAAAAAGTCGAGGGGAGGGGG